AAAGTCTAACAGATCAGGAATTTTGTTATCACTGGACCAGTATGTAGGGGTGCCAGTTGTTAGGTATTTGAGGTTATTATCTTGTATGACAGGTTGTGACTAGTTGTTGTGACATTGTTGTGGAAGGACCAGCTGGTTTGATGAAATTTCCTGTGCTGCTCATGTACACATAAGCTGCACGTCAATTGTTGGTATTAACTGAGAATTTAATTTTTGGTGAAATTATTAATTTGTATTAACTGTTTTTATACAGTAAAGTTTTAATCACTTTCTGATAAAAAGGTATTACTTGTTCTTATCGTATAAAAACCACATTGGGAACATTACACCAGTTTTTAAACGATATATTCGATGCTGAACGCTTAACGATGATAACTCGTTGGCGGCTAGCGCTACACTCTCACTTTTAACTTTTAAAAGATCTAAAAATTTGATTTGAAAAATTTAATCTAATCCAACTTAACTAAACCTAGCCTAACCATATTTGACATGAAACTGCTGACAAACAGTAATTTTTTCTTAAAGAAATTAAGAATAAAATAATATAATAAATGACGGTTGCGTTTCGATTTAATTTGAGTCTCTTACCACTCCCTGACACGTGTTTCTGGATCTACCTGTCATCAGAATTTGTAAGAAGACTCAAACCACGATACACTTATACCGGTATGCCGACGCGCAACTTCAGTGACGTCACATCGATGCAAATCCTAAATCCAACCCATCCTACGTTATTTAATGTTGGTTAGGTTGAGTGTTTTTATTTTTAATTTATCCCATTGTAGATTTACTAATTTACAATTTTTAAATCAAATACAGTTGTAAATGAAACGGCGATATTTAGATACAAAAATACTTTTGAAAGAATTTATAAAAATGAAATTAAAAATAAATTCAATGTTATTGGAATTTAAGAATATTTATTTCAATATAGAAAGCACTTTAACAGAATAATGTTTTAATACTAAATACTAGGTATTTATTTATTTTTTTTTACGGTTTGTAAGTTTTAACATTTTTATTTCCAGTTTTCTTTTACAATTTTCAAAACTAATTTGCTTATTAATTTCTCGCAATCTGATGTAGCTTCTGGTACGACTAAGGCAATAAATAACTTCATAAGGTATATTTACTTCATTACCAAGCTTGACAACAGTACGGTCAGCTATCAATGAAAATATTTTTTTCTCTTTAGAAAGTGACGTTCCACGCATTAAATTGAACTCTGTTTCCAGTACTTCTGCAGTTTTCATTAAATCATCACTCGTATTTAAAAGGCCACCTCTTGAAATACAAGTTAACCATTCATTGGACTTGTTTGTTGTGACCAACTCGCAGATAGAGCCTAAGTATTTATATTTATTTTTAAACTTATAAGCAACATATCCTGCAATATATTTTAGAGCTTCTTTGTTAACAGTTTCTTTGCATTCAAACTGATGTAGCAACTGTAAATTTTCGATGTTGGACCTGGTTTCTAATACATTTATTTCGGGGTAGAGAGGCTCGATGAAAGAATGTGAAGTGCTAATTTCTTCGTCAAAAAAATTAGACTCAGTAGGTGTAAGTATTGATACATTCTTGAACATCTGTCCTGTCAAACAGTTATTTTCATCTACAATTTGTAATTGGTCATGACTAGATTCAAATGGAGTCAATAAACAATGTTCACAATGTTCTTCTGTATTTCTATTTTCAGTAAAAACAGCAGCTGAATTCTTACCTAATATGAACCATCTAAGGCGATATTTAAATTCTAGAGGATGGGGATGATCATTAGTAGCTCCCATGCCCCTTATATAAGAAAAAAAATTTTCAAGAATATCTTGGTTTAATCTTGATGTTAATATATACTCTATATTATAATGTTTATGTAGATAATCAAATAATTCTGCCATTGACCTGTTTGTTAAAAGAATACCTCTTTCAAATGGAATTAAAGACTTTCTATTTCCCATACGCATGGTGCTAATGATGTCTGACACTTGCTGTAATAATTTTTTCTGATTTTCTATGTCTATACCAAATGATTTTTGTTGGATTATTTTCTACAAATTTTGATCTAGAATTTAACAAGTCAAACCAATTATTTATTAAAAGTGCAAAATCAAAAGCTTCTTTCCAAAAAGTTGAACAGCAGGTCTAACCTTTTGTCTCTGAGCACCTTTTAGATTAAAATGAAATTTTGTAAGTTTATATGCTAAACTCAACTCTGTTGTAGATATGTTAAGCAATTGTTCAAAACATGTTTTGTCAATTAAAGTATTGTTAATAAAAAAACCGTGATCTAGTAGGTGATTTCGCAAAAGTTTTATTAAATGCGGCACATCAGCAAACACAAAAATCTTCAAATTATCAGTGCTTGGGTGATAGAAATATGGATTTTTATCGTGACCTATATTCATTTTTGACCAAAGTACCGCATTTCCTGTACCCATATCACTGACTACAGAAACTACTATAAATCCAACAGAATAAAGTTTCTCAATTATGGACTTTAATATATATTCTGTCATGGGTTGATCAAAATTAAAAAATACAGGTTGCTTCCATTGTCCAATAAGACTTCGTACCATTACCACTTGACAATTTTTATGAGGTCCTATTACTTTTTCTTCCTTCTTCTCGATATCTACTCTATTAGATAGATATATCTCATCGAACGATAAGACACACAGTTTTTCATTAGTATTGAACTCATGACATTTTTTGCCCATCAACGCAATAACATCACTTAATATACCGGGTTCTAATGAAAATAAGGAAGCCCATTTTCGTAAAGTAGAAAGCGCCGGTAAGGGGTAACCTAATGACCTAAGATATCGATACGCTTTAGGACTAACACTGCGCAATGAAATAGCGGATGCTATGTCTTCTGACGACCATCGCAATTTTTTCCTTTCGGGATGTAATATCCTTTCTATCTGACCAGTAGTAAACAATTTTCCTAACGAAGTTTTTACATTATCAGTTTCTTCTCTCATCTCTTCTATAATTCTAGTTAGTTTGGAATTTTCTTTTTGCAGATTTAAAATTGTTTGCTGAAGTTCTGCTATTTGTCGTTGATTATTTCTAAAAATGTTATATAGAATTACTTAGATAATTATTTTTTTAAAAGCCTAAATAAATTCAAATAACTTACAAAGATGGCACATTTACATTCTCCTTTTCTTCCGGCTCATTGTTGTTTAAATTATTAATTTTGGTTGCAAAATATTATCAACACTACATCGCCTTCTTTTTACCAATCTTTCGGATCTTAATGAATCCGTAACTAATTGTCTTTTTAGAGGAAGGTTTAAAGTTGGTACAGCGTCTTCCTTCAAGTTTCTATTGCGTGGCGTATAATTCAAAAATTGTTTTTTGAAACAAATCTCAAAACACGCATTCTCAAAATGTGTGGAACAAATTGTAGCTAAATATTGTAGCTTTATAATACATTTTTTAGAAAGTTTATTATCTTTCGGAAATTTGAAATACCTAATGTCAGTTCCTTTTGTTTTGCGGTTATAATTTCCGCAATTTGCCACGGCACACGACGGCATTTAAAATAGGTATAATAATTTATACGCACTTTTAATCACCTATCGGATAATTAACATTAATTTTTTGTTCAAATCCAAACATACAACAAACAACGAGTTATTAAAAATCACGAAACAGATTTCAAAACACTGAAAATACTATCTCACACCATAACATACAACAGCTCGATGTATCGACGTGACGTAACTGCGCGTCAAAGACACGTTTTTATTCCAAACATAGCATAAAACATTATTCTGTTAAAGTGCTTTCTATATTGAAATAAATATTCTTAAATTCCAATAACATTGAATTTTTTTTTTAATTTCATTTTTATAAATTCTTTCAAAAGTATTTTTGTATCTCAATATCGCCGTTTCATTTACAACTGTATTTGATTTAAAAATTGTAAATTAGTAAATCCACAATGGGATAAATTAAAAATAAAAACACTCAACCTAACCAACATTAAATAACGTAGGATGTGGTAGGATATAGGATTTGCATCGATGTGACGTCACTGAAGATGCGCGTCGGCATACCGGTATAAGTGTATCGTGACTCAAACCAAATCAAAACGCACCGACTACTAAGGCAATTATAGTAAAAATAATTACCTGAGTATGCTACTCGAGGCCTCTAGTGAGGAAACATGAAGTTAAATATCGATAGCAATTAGAGTAAACTGTATAACCCAAGCTTAATCAAGCCATTCAGAGCGATGCTGAGAATATTAAAATTCCACTATGCATCAACAATTTACCCATATAAATTACTATCATTTTTGTACTCATTGCGTCGAGTAAGGACAATAACAAAATAAATGACGGTTGCGTTTCGATTTAATTTGAGTCTCTTACCACTCCCTGACACGTGTTTCTGGGTCTACCCGTCATCAGAAGGAGTTTGTAAGAAGACTCAAACCAAATCAAAACGCACCGACTACTAAGGCAATTATAGTAAAAATAATTACCAGAGTATGCTACTAGAGGCCTCTAGTGAGGAAACATGAAGTTAAATATCGATAGCAATTTGAGTAAACTGTCTAACCCAAGCTTAATCAAGCCATTCAGAGCGATGCTGCTTAAGCTTGGGTTATACAGTTTACTCTAATTGCTATCGATATTTAAGAATAAAATGTTAAAATAATTAAAAATCGGTTAATTTTTTTTTCATAAGAAAATATATTTTGTATAACTGGCAACACTTGGTAGAATTACCCCTCTTGAGTGTATTAAACGGTTGTCATTAGTGTCATAGACTTGTGGTCTATTTCACTGATTTTCCAAGACTTGCTTAAAACAAAGGTGCGACTTACGCATCTACAAAATAAAAACGCATGTGCCTGAAACATGTAATGTATTATTGGGTAGAATTTTGGGTCTGCAAAAGCATTATATGTATTATGTTTTACTTTGTTTATTACTGTGTGCCTGAATTCATTTTTCTCTTTTAAAAAATCGTTTGTATTTTAGGTTTTGCTCAGGAGGAGAACAAACCGAAAAGTATGGAGACATCTTTTGAACATTTATCCCATAAAGGACTCTATATGAGTCGACCCGCTGAAGGGAAACCCGTGAATAAAAATATAAAAATTCAGATTAGACAGGGAGACTATAATTGTGAAATTTGTTTCAAGCAGTTTGGTCGAAAAAATTATTTAACTAAACACATGAAAGTTCACACTGGAGAAAAACCTCATAAGTGTGAAATTTGTTTTAAAAAGTTTTCGGACACATCTAAATTGAAAACACATTTGAGGGTACACACCGGAGAAAAACCTTACAAGTGTGAAATTTGTTTGAAGCAGTTTTCTACAGCAAGTTATTTGAAGACACATTTGATACTGCACACTGAAAGAAAGCCTTTCAAGTGTGAAATTTGTTTGAAGCAGTTTTCTCAAAAAGGTAGTTTGAAAATACATTTGGTAGTGCACACTGGAGAAAAATCTTACAAGTGCGAAATTTGTTTGAAGCAGTTTTCTACAGCAAGTTATTTGAAGACACATTTGTTACTGCACACTGAAAGAAAGCTTTTCAAGTGTAAAATTTGTTTTAAGCAGTTTTCTTCAACAAGTAATTTAAAAACACATTTGTTAGTGCATACTGGGAAAAAACCTTACAAGTGTGAAATTTGTTTGAAGCAATTTTTTACAGCAAGTGCTTTGAAAAGACATTTGGTAGTGCACACTGGAGAAAAAACTGAAGAGTGTAAAATTTGTTTTAAGCAGTTTTCTAGAGCAAATTATTTGAAAGCACATTTGAAGGTGCACACTGAAGAAAATCCTTACAAGTGTGAAATTTGTTTTAAGCAGTTTTCTCAAAAATATAAATTGAAAAATCATTTGATGGTACACACTGGAGAAAAACGTTACAAGTGTGAAATTTGTTTGAAAATGTTTATTCAAATAGGGGAGTTGAAAAAACATTTGAGAACACACACAGGAGAAAAACCTTACAAGTGTGAAATTTGTTTGAAGCAGTTTTCTAAAAAAAGTAATTTGAAAACACATTTGGTAGTGCACAATGGAGAAAAACCTTACAAGTGTGAAATTTGTTTTAAGCAGCTTTCTCAAAAATACAAATTGAAAAATCATTTGATGGTACACACTGGAGAAAAACGTTACAAGTGTGAAATTTGTTTGAAAATGTTTATTGAAATAGGAGAGTTGAAAAAACATTTGAGAACACACACAGGAGAAAAACCTTACAAGTGTGAAATTTGTTTGATGCAGTTTTCTCAAACAAGTAATTTGAAAAAACATTTGGTAGTGCACACTGGAGAAAAACCTTACAAGTGTGAAATTTGCTTTAAACAGTTTAGCCAAGCATCTAATTTGAACAGACATTTGATAGTAGTGCACACTGAAGAAAAAGCTTAGAAGTGTAAAATTTGTTTTAAGCTGCTTTCTACAGCAAGTAATTTACATTTTTGTTAGTGCACACTGAAGAAAACCCTTAGAAGTGTGAAATTTGTTTTAAGAAATTTAATCAAGTAGATACTTTGAAAATACATTTGAGAGTGCATACTGGGGAAAAAGCTTACAAGTGTAAAATTTGTTTTAAACAGTTTAGCTTGTTGTAAACAGTTTAGCCAAGCATATTCTTTGAAAACATATTTCAGAATGCACTTTGAAGAAAAGGCGTACAAGTGTGAAATTTGTTGTAAACAGTTTAGCCAATGAGATTCTTTTTTTTTTTGCCTGTAATTTTGTTGGTTAGTAGGATAGAATGCTTCCGTAATAGGCGCCTTTGGAAGATTTTGGACCTGTTGAAGATCAAAGCAATATGTCACGCTATCAGCAGATTCCTCTTTCATTGATTTAAAAAACTGCTTTGCTCGCGTCTTATGCATAGTTAAATCCATTTTTAATTTTAATCTTTGCTCTTCATCCTTGGTGGTATTTATCTCAGTGTTTGTTCTTATGCAAAAGCCACAAACATCAGTAGCTGGACTTCCAAAGGCTAAAACAAACGGACAACTTAGTAAAAAATAAAAAACATTTTTTTAATAATATCTACCTATATTAAACTTATTGCTGAAAATTCGACTAAAGTACTTACTTGTAGTTTGTTTGGAGTGAATTATCTAGAATCTGATCATTATACATCTCCCACAGCTTTTTTATGTTTAACTCAGATGACAAATAGATTCTTCTTGACTTGCCTCTACCATAGTGGCTTTCATGGCCCTTCAAAGACGAAATAAATTTCACTTTCTAATTTAAGCGCATTTTTCTTGGACTTTCTGTCTCCACCACGATTGTCTTTTATACTAGTGCCAAGCATCTTTTTTCTCACTATCGTATGAATTCTTCTTGGACCACAATTAAAAATAGAGGAAAATAATTTTTGGCAAACAAAGATTTTCTTGCTATTATGCCAAACCTAAAAAATTCTCAATCAGAGACCTTACAAAGTGTAATCGAAAAATATATATGTACTGATGCTAAAGCTTGGTTTATTTAAATAAAAACTTTCATAAAATTCTGTGTGAAAATCATGTGATTTACCATTCTTTCTCTTCCTTTGCCTTTTTATTTCCTTAATATTCATCATCTGTGCCAATTTGTTATCCTGAGCATTTTTGTTCTTTTCTTCATTATCATAGAAATTTTGTCTAATAATTTTTATGTCGGCCAACAAAAGATCTGTACATGCAAATTTTTTTGATTTGTGAACACAAATATTTTTAAAATTCAATAACTCTGGATCTAAATCCGAATATCTAAAAGAAAACAAATTAAACCACAAAAACACAACATAACCTGTAGTTTACCTTATTTCTCTCTTACGTTTTTTTGCCGTAGTATTTATTTTTCTTTTTCTCGTTCCTCTATTTGTATCACCTACGATATGCTCATCTTCACTCATTTTAATACTATTATTATTATTATAAAAACAACCTATTAAGCACGAATAATATCAGATACTGTTGATTCCTAAATCAACGTCTCAGAGAAAAATAAAGTCGTTAAATAGTAAAAAAGCAATGCAAGCAAAATAGCGCTATTTGTTTGTCTCTCGCTACTGGACAAAATGCGTTTTGTTTGTCTAAGTGATTTTTAAAGCCAAAAATATACGTGAAATATTACGTTTAGAATATCTAGGAGTATGTAAATTAATAAATGATGTTTTGACTAATCCAACGCCACCTCTAAGTCAAAAAGTGAAAATATGGACAAAGTGCGATTTGAAAGTCTGCTCCTCAATTATATTAATTATATCAGAGCAGGAAGTAGTTACATAGTTACGTTATTGTTAAGGGCATAGGCGCAAAAGTCGCCTGTCAAAATGTTAAATGTGTTTTAAGTGCATTCATTGCATCCTAAGAAATGAATCCTGAAAAAATTAATAAATATTTTTGAAAAATTTAAACGCAGAATGAATGATTACATTATTACTGAGCGCCGAAAGTCCCTGAAAACTTCTAGAATATTTATTTATTTTAATAGGTTACATAGAAAATTTAGTGTGAAAAAGAAAGAAACTTGTAAGTAACTTTCGGCCCTCGGTAATACGTATCCTTTCAATCTACTTTTAAATTTTTCAAAAATACTTATTAGTTTTTGCAGGATTCCAAATAAATCAATTCATTTAAAACACATTGAAAATTTTGACAGGCTTCATTTTGTACCTTTCCCCTTAACGCCACTACAAGATTTTTCTGCGTAAATAAAATATTAAAATTTTCCTTGTAAAACACTTGATTCTTGCCAAGGTATTTGTCCTTCTGTATTAAAATATTTCGTAAAGTTTTGCCTTATTAGGAAAGCGTTTGATGTACTTCGGATATTATTGTTTCGCAATGAAAGTAGCTGACTTGTAGGAAGTTCGGTATCGGTTCCATCCACGTAGCTACAGGCTTCTTTACAACCTCTTAGTTAATTGTGCAGAACACACGCTGCTTTTGTAACACTTTCACTTTCAACACTTTCATTTCACAACACTTTAAACTTTTATTTCAAAAGTCTTTCTGAACACACGAAATCGAGAGGCGAGAATTCCAAAGGCACATTCAACACATTGACGGGCTCGCGACAGCTTGTAGTTAAATATTTTATTTTTAAGATTATCATTAACAATAACGCTTCGTCTCGGATAAGGTCGCATCAAATTTTCTGTTAGCGCAAAGGCTTTTCGCTAAGTACTATTTTAGATAGATATCTCGTTTACTATTTTAGCAACTGTTCGATCCCCCATTCTGTAGCTGTACGCTATGCTTCTGTAGCTATCTCCAGAAGCTATATACCTACAAAAGAGTTACATCTGTATTACTCTTCTTCAACATAGCATGCAATATTGCGTAAGTCTTTTATCCCCTTTATTTAAAAATAAAACTTTGTTACAGGAAATGAGGCGAAGACATTTTGGCTTAAGCTTCGTAACTGCCACCGCGATGCACTGCGAAGACAGAAAAAGTGTCTAAAAAGCGGAGCTGCTGCTGTCATCATAAAAAAATGGAAATTTCAAAGACAGAGAGTGAAATTTTTGACGAGGTGACCAGCGACATTCGACATGATACCGAAGAAATCGAGAGTGTTAAAAATGACATTGTTAATGAGCCGTCTACGTCCAGTATTGTTATACAAAAAAATAACGAAAAAGAAAATGCCAAACGTAAGGCAACTGAAGACCAATCAATCACAACCAAAGCAGCTAAAAATAAAAAACCTAAAAATGATGATATACAGGAAGTGATAAAGCAGTCAATTATGCAACGTCAAAAAAGGACCGAAGAAAGAGCAGTTGAAAGGGCAGCACAGAAGCCTTTGGATGATGATCTCTATCATTTTTATATGTCGATGTACAAAATAACAAAAAAAATGCCTCCTAAATTTCAACATCGTGCAAGAAATGATGTATTCCAAGCTATATCGCAGCTCGAAGCTGCAAATCTAGAAATTCATGAGCCCAGTCAAGAAAAATACACTCATAGTGAACAAAGAGTTTTTACAAGTGCATATGTTAATACCCATATTCAGCAGCCCCATTACTCGTCAGCACCTCTTCCATCACCAAGTTCCAGTCACAGTAGCCAGCACACTGAGAATCAACATTTTAATAATCCTCTAGCTCTTATTCCCAACAACTCTTTTTTATGCTCAAATGATTACAACTCTAGAAGCACCAGTAATTATTCATCTACTACACTCACTCCCAGGTTGTCTGCTGAGACATCTCCTCAAACCGCTGATACCGGTAATATCGTAATTTTGTGGAAAATTATAGAGTATAGAATTATGATTGTTTAAAATGATATTTTTGTATTTTTTAATAAAACAAAATTAATAAAAATAATACCTTAAAAAAACAGCTAGTTTTTCTTTGGTTCTTATTGGTTTTGGGGCATTACAACCATCTAAATAAATACTGTTTTCTATTATATTATGTACTTCATCAACTTGTTTTCTGCTTAACCGAAAATAATTTATATAACGAGACTCTGAGAGAATTCTGATGATAGTGCAAATTCCCCATGAGTATTTCTCTTTTTCGTATAGTTGCTTTTCTAAAAAGATTTTTTCTCTTTGACATGTTGAATAATAAAACTGTTTCTTCAAATTCTGCGTCTAACTCTGATTTGGAACTGTCCAGAAATAACGCCATTATTTAAATTATAAAATTCTCTTTTTATGTTCATATAATATATTCGATATTCGCACCTCAAAATTTTCGAGAAGACTGCTTCCAAATATGCGTTCACACTACGTGACACGTATATTTTCTCACCTGCGTCCCAATGTGCTGCTTACTTAAATGTGGGACATTCTACATACATGGACAACTTCTACAACAGTTATGGACTTGCTAAAACATTACTCGGCAATGGATTATTATTGTACCGGTACTCTGCGTGTTGGCAGAAAAAAATTTCCCAAAGACGTAACAGACTGAAAGCTCAAGGTAGTAGATACTATCGCAAAATGTGAAAATGGAATAATTATATAGAAATAGAGAGATAGGAGAAACGTGGTTGAGATGGTTGAAGTGACAGATTGAAGGGGGCGAACTAAAATGAAACTTCAAGTCACCAGTATAATATAATCATTTTATGTCGGGGATAGATAAACAGGACCAAATGTTATCTTATTATTCATGTAAACGAAAAACTAGTATTTGTTGTATTAGTTTTAGATGTGACTCAAAAAAATTTTGTTTAATCAATGTGTATCGTTTCCCTAATGGGGATATTGATATTTTTATACATAAATTATATCATGTATTTAATATTTGTTACGTTAAATATGATTGTATTATTCTTTGTGGTGATCTTAACATCGATTATCTTAAAGAGTCAAGGGAAAAATCTATATTGAAGGATTTCATGATTAGTTTTGGACTTAACTGTAAAAATACTGAACCAACTAGAATATTTACAAACAAAAACGGTGTAATTTCACGATCGAAACTAGATTATTTCCTTACCAATATCCCTCAATTATACAATGAAGTTGTCGTGAACTACAATTTAGGTGATCATCTAGGACTTCATTTTAGTTTAAACATTTCTGAGAGTAACAATACTGCTCCATCCCAGATAGCTACTTATAGAAACTTATCAAAAAATTGTTTGTCTAATCTTTTGTTGAGTCTTGATTCTGAGAATTTGGAAAATGTTTATACATATTCAAATGATGTACCTAGATGATGCATATAGAGCTTTTTTGAACTCTGTCTCCTATCATATTGATACAATATGCCCTTTAATATCAAAACTCAGTTACTAATACCAACAGAAAATGGATCAATACTGAAATTCTTCAGCTTAGTAAAAAGCTAAAAAATTTTATTTTGGCTAGCAAATGTTAGTGGTAATTCAGATTTAATGTATAACTATAAAATATAAAAGGCCAACTTTATCCGTAAGGTAAAGGATATACAAAAACCTCATCAAAGTTATTTAAATAATCAACATAATAATAAAAGAAGATGAAATCGAAAAATAAAGTCATATTGTCAAAAACGTAGGTGCATTTTGATAAACTTGCGATGCAGATACGTTTTTTTAACATACACCAGTCGATTGTGCATACCTGAAATACCCATGAAAGTCGAAAAAAAAAAAAAATTAATCAACAAATATATATTTAAATTAAAGTGAAACAATCTTTTATATTTTAATTATTAATGAGTATATAAACAATCTGTCACACATCGTAGACATTAGACTCTTAGAATTAAATACATTTTTTACTCTCCAATTATTTTTCTATTAAGAAAAAAGTGGAAAACTATATTACTTATGTAATAAATATTATAATTTTTGTATCAAAAATATTTTTGTATAAAATATTTCCTACATGAATAAAAATGGTTGTTTTTTTTTAAATTATGAACCATAATTTGTTAAAAATAAATATTTTCTTTTTTGTTTTTTTATTTTTTATTGCCTATAGAAGGCCGTTTGGAATACCTCCAGCAATACTGTTGTTCGGCTAGCTCTTTTAGTTCGTTTCTTTTAACTTTTCCAGAGGGTGTTAGAGGTATACTATCTACAAACATTACTCCCCCTCGCAGCCTTTGCTTATCTTGCACTCTTTCTTCAATATACTTTGCGATATCTTCTTCGGTTACTTTTCCTTTGTATTCATTTTCCAGAACTACTATAGCCATAGGATGATCGCCGTCTTCTTCATGTTTTCTTCCTAAAATATAATTCTATTTGTTACCAATTATTATAATTTATACCTACTTATAAATAAAATAATAAGTCGAAAGAAAATGTAAAAAGTATTTTTGAAGTGTGTATATTTTAGGCAATTCCTAGCTGAGCGCTTTCGGCTTTACAAAGCCATCATCAGAGCTATGGTCAATTTTTTAAATACCACTACAAAGGAGAGATCTCATTTCCTTATATTTCCAAATTATGATTTTGTTGCAATTCTTAGAACATATAAAAAAACATATAAAAAACCGACACTGGACTTCACAAACACATTAAAAAAATTGAAAAAAAATTTTTGTCATGGTGCGGGTGTAAGAACCCGACCATTGTTTGATCTGAGGAGGTAGGCAGAATAGCTATTCTGCTAGCTACACCATGACAAAAAATTTTTTTCAATTTTTTTAACGTGTTTGTGAAGTCCAGTGTCGGTTTTTTATATGTTCTAAGAATTGCAACAAAATCATAATTTGGAAATATAAGGAAATGAGATCTCTCCTTTGTAGTGGTATTTAAAAAATTGACCATAGCTCTGATGATGGCTTTGTAAAGCCGAAAGCGCTCAGCTAGGAATTGCCTAAAATATACACACTTCAAAAATACTTTTTACATTTTCTTTCGACTTGTCATAAGTGTGTACAAAAAATATCAGTCTTTTGATTGATTAATAAAATAATAGTATGTACAAAATCTCGAGTATACAAAAATCAATAAAACATGCAACCGAAATATTTGTTACTTTGGTGGTAAATTAGAATAAGGATGCTAACTTTATGACGTAAATATTATCAGTCATATATTCTTTAACGACGTCTTCTGACCATTAAATATATGTTACTCTACTTCTTAGAAAAAAAAAAATATCTTCAACGCCTTTCAGACGGGTTTACGTAAAAGGTTAGCATATATCACCTCACTGATTCAGCTTGCTTTCAGAGAAAATGAATCTGTTCTAGCTGTGTTTATGGATATTAAGTCTGTATATCAAGGAATCAATATATACAATCTATGACAAACTGATAAATCTAGCCATGCCTAGTGACTTAGCAAACCTCATGTTGAAGATATTAGAAAATAGATCTCTATACCTACACTAGAAAATCAGATGGTTCTTTCATAGGACCCGAGGTAGGCACAACAGAAATCCCACAGGGCTCACCTCTCAGCACAATTCTATTCAATGTTTATGTATATGATCTTTTCAGAATCATAAATTAGAATTCGAAAATAATAGGATATGCAGATGACCTGGTACTAGTTTGCAAAGGTAACAATATTACAAATATGTCATGAAAAATTAACAAAGACCTAGTCAAATTAAACATATCGCTAAAAGAAAACAACTTATCTCTATGCAATGACAAATCGAAAGCAGTATGGTACACCAAGAGGAGAAGAAAAAATGCATCCATAAACATTAATAGAGACAATAAAATTATACCATTTAGTAACAATGTAAAATACCTAGGAGCAATCCTACATAAAAATTTAAAATGGAACCAACACATAGAATACATCTCAAATAAAGCAAAAAAGCTCTTAATATATTAAAGTATATCAGTAGAGTCTGGTTTGGTGCTGACCCTAAAACACTGCTAAATATCTTCAACGCATTGGTGAGATCCCACCTAGATGTAAGAGCACCCAGATTTCCAATGCTTTAATTTTGTTCATGATCGATACTTTTAGCGTCCACACTTCTGCACTATACAAAATACAGACCAAACATAACGCTTAACTATTCTTTGCCTTAGTTCTAAACTGAGATGATTATTGCAAAGAAATTTTCATAAAAGTAGTTTTAGTCATTGCTATTCTACGTTTTATTTCTATGTCTGGATCTAGTTGGTTCGTTATCACAGTTCCCAAATATGTCAGTTTGTGAACTTTCTCAATGTGGGTCACGACTAAACACTAAAAATTTGGTTTTGTTTGAGTTTATTTTAATGCCCATTTCCTCTCCTACCTCGTGAATATGATCAAGCAGAATTTGAAGACCTTCAATAATATCTGATAGAACTACTGTATCGTCTGCATATCTAATCACATTAAGTAGTTCCCCGTTGATTTTTATTCCATATGGTTGTCTCTCAAGTGCCTTTTTAAATAGCTGGTCCGAGTAAACATTGAACAATGTTGGCGACAAAATGCAACCTTGTCTGACTCCTCGTTGTATGGGGATTTCATCGATGTTGTTATCTCCAATTTTTACGATAGCAGTTTGATTCCAGTACAAATTTTTAATGACATGCATATCCTTGTCATCTATTCCGATATTTTTCAGTATTTGTATTAATTTTACATGCTCTACTTTATCGAATGCCTTTTCGAAGTCCACGAAACATGCAAATACATCTTTTCTTCGGTCACGGCATTTTTGTAATAGGATGTTAAGCGCAAAAAGTGCCTTCCTGGTTCCCATAGCATGTCTAAAACCAAATTGGGTATCCTCAAGATCTTCTTCGCATTTGCGTCTAATGCTGTTGAGGAAAATTTGAAGAGTGTGGCTCATTAGGCTAATTAATCGATATTCTGAGCATTTTCTTGCATTGTATTTTTTAGAAATTGCGATAAAGATGGATTTGAGCCAATCTGCGGGAATCACTCCGGTGTTATATATTGAATTAAAAAGTCTTGCTACTACTTTTATGTTATCATTTTCTATTAGTTTCAGCAACTCAGTTGGTGTACCATCTGGACCACAAGCTTTTCTAATTTTAGCATTATTTATAGCATGTTCTACTTCGCATTTCATAATTTCTGGGCCGTCAGTATAGTTTTGGTAGAATTCGGCAATATTATTCCTGTCATCTTCATACAACTCTGATATATACAGATGCTCTTTTCTTATTTCTTGCTCATTTACAATAATTTTGTTATTAGTGGCAACAAGTACAGAGGGAACTCGTTTTTTAAATATATTACCCATTTCTTTCAGTTTTTTGTGCACATTAAATAAGTCGTTTTTAGATATTACATCCTCCATTTCGTCGCACCTTTCTCTCATCCATTTTTCTTTGGCTAATATTGTAAGCAATAACATCACAAGATAAAAGGCCGATAATACTTGAGTTTACCGTCTGGCTTAGAAAAATAAACAAAGAACGTGTGTTCTGCGTTGTGTTTAGTTTAGTAATCATTAAGACACAAAAGATGCATCAGTCCGCGATACATACAAAAATACCTTCCCTTCGAGAATTTATTACGTTTTATGAAAATAAATATTATTAACAATTTTTTTTACGTTTTATCCAATATTATTATTATTTTTATTTTGACATACCATATGACAGAAAGACGGCAGATGGAATAAGATGATTATACACTGGAGACCATATAGTTACAAACGAAAAAGAGGAAGGTCACAAATGAGATGGTCAGATGACCATCTCATGCCACTTGAAGAAACACGCAGGCTCGAAGAGGATAGATCTTTCACACACATAGACACACACAGGATTTTTTAACCATAGAAGCGAACTAGACCGGAACTCGGCCACATTCTCGTAAATTTTTTTCCAAAGTATATTTGTTACAACTTTAATTGTTAATATTTACTTTTAAAGTGGTGTTTATTTTTACATACCTATCACCACAGATTGTCGCACAGCAGGATGATGTGACAATTCTAGTTCCAAAATTGCAGGCGGAATATGCCAACCTCTATACTTAAGCATTTCTTTCACTCTATCTACTACGTAGAAGTTGCAATTTTCATCATATTTAACGACATCGCCAGTTCTGAACCATCCATCTTTGTCGTACCTATTGCTACAGTCTCTTTGATAATAGCAATTCATTACCGTTTTCGCTTTGATAAGCAGTTCTCCGGGTTGATTTGCTCCAAGGATCTCATCGGTTTCTGGGTCCACAACCTGAAAAATATGTTGAATTTATAAGTTAAAATATATATTTTCATTTAATACTTTTTTGTACTTTCTAATGAAAGAGTATTCATTTATTATAAAGCTTAAGTGGGAAAAATATGAAAGGGATACAAAAGACGAAAAAAACCGCTCAGTAAAAACAGCTAAGTAATAATAAAATAAAAATTGTGTTCGTTGTAATATTAATATTTTTTACTTAAGGAGGTAGGTATATTCATGCCGCAGTTAAAATAAATGGCATTCGAATAAAATAGCGTTTACCAATTCTTTAGGTAGATGGCAGCACGTACATACATTATATTTTAATATTGTAATTTTCCCGAAATTTAATTCTCTGAACAGCGACATTGATGCTAGCGACACCAAGCACTGGAACTGGAAAGAAACCAGTAGATATACTACGGTCAGAAAACGACATACCTACAAATTATGTTCCAGATTTACCTCTATCTGAAATGACTGAAATTTGATCACAACTGGAATATTTTATAAAGTTTTTCTCTTGGGACATAATGGCTGATATTCTGCACCAAACGTCTATTCGAATTCATTCGACTAAAAAAACAGGTACAACTAACTAATGCAGAATTTACAAAATATATTTCCATAACTCGTACTATGAGCATTATAAAGTTGCCTGCTATAAGTGATTATTGGGCCAGAAATACTCGATTTGACAAAATAGCGGACATAATATCTTTACAAAAAAATTTGTTAAAATCCTTTATAAAAGGTATATAAAATTGCCTCAAACGGGCTATCACAAACACATTGCAAAACGTTTTCGGATTAAACAATCCATCATCAGTGCAAACCTGAAAGTATATAACCACTTTCAGGTTTGCACTGATGATGGATTGTTTAATCCGAAAACGTTTTGCAATGTGTTTGTGATAGCCCGTTTGAGGCAATTTTATATACCTTTTATAAAGGATTTTAACAAATTTTTTTGTGATATATGGTATACAGCCAGCTACAGGAACTTAGTTTCCTCGTGGAATTTTAATATATTTACGACGTTTTACTAAAATGTGGATAAAATGTTTTACTAACAGGTGGACACGGAGAATTCTAGAATGGAGACCAAGGACGACAACAAGAAGCATGGGAAGACCTCAAAAAAGATGGGTAGATGACATAAGAGCAGTGGCAGCAAACAGTGGATTAGATTGGCCCAAAATGGAGAAAGATGGACACAATTGGGAGAGACCTACATTCAGGAGTGGATGGAAAATGGTTGACAAGGAAGACTAAAATTAGAAGGTACTTACATTTTGCTGATACTTCTCAACTATCCTCAAATGATAAAGACCGATTTTTAAAATAAAGCCCTAATAGAAAAAATTTAAACAAATTGTCAGAAGTTCCACATTGGCAATCAATATTTTGTAGAACAGACAATGATTCCTTACAAAGGTACCTTTGCAGGCAATCTTAGACAATATATAAAAGATAAATCAGACAAATAGGGTTTTAAATTGTTTGTATAAGTAACTGTTTCTAGCATCATCACAGACGTAATAACTTATCAGGGTGCGTTTACGTTTGACCAGTGAGAAGGAACCTCTAACGAATTGACAGGTATAGAAAAGGAGTTACGTGTTGATCCCAGTATTGTTGTTGCACTGTGTAAAACTATTCCAAACCAGAACAGACGGTAATAGTATTTTTTTACAATTATTTTAGCAGCCTACCATGCTTCCATTTTTAAAAACTAACTTTGGAATTCATAGCTTAACATTTGGAGCAGATAAAATTGCCGATTGTCCATAAGAAGCTGACAAAATTAGGCAAAAGCCTAACAAGTAATAACCTAAATAACAAGGTTGATCCCTTAACTCAAATAAGCCTATATGTTATTCATTCCCAACAAAAAGCTGATGTTCCTTCCTCCTCCTAAGTGCCTTCTCTATTGAGGTTGGCGATCAATATGGCAAATTTCTCTCTGTTCTGGGCTTGATGGATTAAGTCATTTCCTGTTGTGTGAGTCCAATCTCTGATGTTTCGGAGCCAGGATTTCTTCTTTCTTCCTATACCCCTTTTACCCTCGATTTTGCCTTCTAATGTTACCTGGAGCTGCTCAAATTCCTTATGGTGCATTAAGTGTCCTAGATATGACGTCTTTCTAATTTTGATTGTATTAACCAGATGAGGTCGTGTGTTCATTATTTCCAGTACCTCTTCATTTGTAGTTTTGCTGATCCAGCTTATTCTTAACATTCGGCGGTACATCCACATTTCGAATGAATTCAGTTTGTTGACGTCATACTGTTTTAATGTCCAGGTCTCACAGCCATATAGTAGTAGAGACCACACATAACACTTTAGTGTTCTTAACCTTATTGTGATTGATAGCTTGGGGTTACAGAGCATTTTACGCATGTTCATGAAGCCAGATCTTGCTATTTCAATACGTCTTCTAATTTCTTTTGAGTGGTCTAGCTGACTGTTTAGCTCTCTGCCCAGGTATATGAAGCTTTTGGAGCTCTGAAGGGTGATACCATTGATTTGTATGTTGGGTGTAATTTGTTCATGGGGGTTCTTGTGGAATACCATGATTTTGGTTTTGGAAAGATTAATATCCAAACCTAGTCTGTGACTTTCTTCTGATAGTATGTTCATCAATATTTTTAGTTGGTCTTCTATTTCTGCTAATACTACGGTGTCATCGGCATATCTTACATTATTAATGATGATTCCATTGACTCTGGCACCTTCAGGGCGATCTTCAAGAGAAGCTCTGATGTTATTTTCGGCATAGACATTAAATAGAAGAGGGGACAGAATGCACCCTTGACGCACTCCTCGTTCTATGTTTACATAATTGGCATTTCCGTTGTCTGTTCGAACACATCCTTTGTGGTTCCAGTATGTATTGCTTATTATAGCTATGTCGTGTCCGTCCAGCCCTACTTCTTTTAGCACCTCAATCAATTTTTCGTGTCTAAGGCGGTCGAAGGCCTTTCTATAATCGACAAAGCACACATACGGCTGTTTTTGAACCTCGAGATACCTTTCTGCCATTAGTGTTAATCCCATTTATGCTTCTCTGGTGCCTGTACCTTTCCTAAAACCATATTGAGAACGACTCAGGTATTCTTCACATTTATTGTGAATGCGGTTATAAATTACTCGCATAAAAATCTTAGCAGCATGACTCATTAGGGATACAGTTCGATGGTCTTCACATTTCCTTGCTTTTTGTTTTTTAGGAAGAGCTACATATGTGGATGTTAGCCAGTCATGCGGTAGAGTGCCATGTTCATATATAATGTTAAAGAGGTAGGTTAATTTCCCGACAGCATCATCACTCATGTGTTTAAAATGTTCGGCTGTTGTTAGATCTTCGCCGGGTGCTTTGTTGTTCTTTGCGTCTTTTATTGCCCGCATAACTTCTTCGGTTAGAATACTTAGTTTTCCATCGGTATCTATTTGTGGGGCCCTTCTGCTCTCCGATCACCAAACAAATCATTAAGATATTGTTCCCATATTTCCTTCTGTTTTTCAGGGTCTAATTCCATTTGGTTTTTCGTGTTTGTTACAACAGATGTTCCTTACCCTGCCATAAGCAGTATAAGCGACACATGGGAGATATGGATAAAGCTAATTTTCTTTTAGGATTATACTGCAGTGCTAGTAGGGCTAGACGATGGTACTATGATATTTTTACATATCTATTAGATGTGCGGTACACAAAATGGAGCGGTTGGTGGTCCAAGGAAGGCCTCAGACTCAACGCCAACGCGGAAGATCTCCACAGCAATGGGCGGACATTACTAAAAAGCTTCTCAATAAACAGTATACTGAGGCAATACATATAACTGATGACCGCGACTAGTGGAGAAATATTATCAATCAAACTGTCCGAGCTGCTGAAGCCCAATTATGAACCACAACACATCTACTAAGATGTTAATGACTGTGATGATGATTAGATGTGTGTTGCCAACGCCTGGCTAGTATATAATCATTCATCATCATCATCATCATCATGCAACCTCTTGTGTCCACTGCCGAACATAGGTCTCTCCCATTTTTCGTCACTATTAACGGTCCTGTGCTTCTTCCAGCCATCCAGCGTGTTGGTGGTCGTCCTCTGCTGCGTTTGTCTTCTCGTGGGTGCCAGTCAATTAGTTTTCTGGTCCGTCTTGTGTCTTTCAGTCTCTCTATGTGACCTGCCCAATTCCATTTCAGCTTGGCTATACATTCGACGACATCAGTGATACCTGTTCTTTTCCTTAAGTCTTGATTCCTTATTTTATCTTTTTTGTCACGCCGAGAATTGATCTTTCCATGCGCTTTTGTGCCACTCGCATTTTTAGTGCTGTTGTTTTTGTGATCGTGAGAGTTTCTGCTCCGTATGCCATAATAGGAAGAACCCATTGGTCAAATGTCTTCCGTTTCATAGCTATGTTGCTCTTAAAGTCTGGTTGTCCTTGTCTATTCTGATTTCATGATCAAGATATATGTATTAATTACTATTTAAATGGGAATAAGCCATAATTAAAGGTTAAGTGGCTTAAAATTAACCTTTAATTGTGGCTTTTTCTCATTTAAATAATAATTAATTTAAAATTCCACAAGAAAATAGCTTCAGAACAATATCAAGATTTCTTTTCTGTCAATTCTGCCACTTGATTTTGGATGATCAGGAGTTCGGTGGGAACTAAATTTGTCATAAATTTGGTCTTACTGATGTTCATTTTTAGACCTATTGTTGAAGATACGTTTTCTAATTCTTGTAGCATTTGTTGTGCTTCACCCAGATCTTCTGGTAATAAGTATTATGTCGTCGGCAAAACGCAGATGATTGAGCATTTCTCCATCTATTTTTATTCCTCTATTTTCCCACTTTAGCATTTTAAAGGCGTATTCGAGGACCGTTATAAATAATTTAGGTGAGAGGGTCGCCCTGTCTCACACCTCGCTTGATATGAATTTTTCTGGTGGTATCATGTAGTTTTACACGCATCGTGGCGTTTTGATATAATGTTTGTACTAACTTTGTGAGCCGGTAATCTATTCTATCATTGTTCAGAGCAGTTATAATGCTGTCCAATTTTAAAGTGCCGAAGGCTTTGTGAAAGTTTACGAAGATAAGTAACAGTGGTCTGTTATATTCTAGCGACTTTTCTATTAAGGTTTTTAGTGTTTGTTGGTGATCGTGATTAAAAAACGCAAGATTGGTTACCTTGGGCACATATTGAGAGGAGCAAAATATGAAATACCACAGTTAATCCTACAAGGGAAGATCGAAGGTAGGAGAGGAGCCGGCCGCAAACAATTATCCTGGTTAAGGAATATTAAAGAATGGACAGGAATACACAATACAGGTGAGCTGTGTCACGCCGCCAAGAACAGAATTCTAGTAATGAGATAGTCGCCTACGCACTTTGGTGTATGGCATGTTAAGAAGAAGAAGGTGATCGTTTGTTCCGAATTTTGAGCGGAAGTTAGCTTGTTCTCGGGCCTGGTAAAAATCTAACTTTTTCTCTAGTCTTGTCGTAATTATTCGGCTAAACATTTTATAGATGTGGCTCAATACGCTGATTGGTCTATAGCTTTTTAGGTGTGCTTTGTCTCCTTTTTTGTGTAGTAAAATTGTTACTGCATTGTTCCATGTTTTTGATATGCAACAATTTGTTAGGAAAAGGTTAAACAACATTTTTATTTGGTTGAGAAGGGCACGTCCACCCATCTTTATAGTTTCTATTACGACTCCATCTTCTCCTGGCGCTTTGTTGTTTTTCATATTTTTCATTGCGTCTATTTCGCTTAGTGTGATTTCTGGCATGAGCTCTGAACCCTGGTTGATAATTTTGCGTGATGCGGCGGCTTCCAAGTTCTTTTGGAAGGAACTCCTTCTTTGTTTAAATCATGAATGTGTTGCTTGTGTGAGTCCATATCAAATAGGTAAAGAAATAATAATAAGACTTACTCACAATCAATTTAATTTAACAATCTGACGACCGGTTTCGCTTTCTACAATTTGCAAGCATCTTCAGGTCGAGATACAAAGTTAAACTAATGCTGCAATAAAATAAACCCAATTAGGGTGGTGTCTCATAAAGATAAAATAAACAAATAAATTAGTTCAAACAAATTATAGTAATTATGCCAATATTACATGTCTGTGGTTTTCAAAATGAATAATTTGAATATATAAAAGGTATTAACAGACAAGGTAAGGCCCACAATTGGTATAAAGTAGCAATCTTATATTGTAATAAATTAATATATCAGAGATATATTTTTTGGAATGTGTGATATAAGTGTAAATAATTTAAATAATACAATAGTAAAGAACATCACTTTCATCTGACAAACAACCACAATATACCTATCTCTAATTCATTGGATCAAATCTGTTCTCCTCAAGAACTTCCCGTTTATTGTCAAAACAACTGCAATAGCACATTAAAGTTCTCCAATCAACAATACATGATTTTTGCAACCATGACCTACCATCCATCAATTAATAGAGTAGCGGCATGTAAGTAATGTTTGTTTTGTTTTATTTATTTGCTCATTTATTAATTTATTACAATATAAGATTGCTACTTTATACCAATTGTGGGCCTTACCTCGTCTGTTAATACCTTTTATATATTCAAATTATTCATTTTGAAAACCACAGACATGTAATATTGGCATAATTACTATAATTTGTTTGAACTAATTTATTTGTTTATTTTATCTTTATGAGACACCACCCTAATTGGGTTTATTTTATTGCAGCATTAGTTTAACTTTGTATCTCGACCTGAAGATGCTTTGCAAATTGTAGAAAGCGAAACGGGTCGTCAGATTGTTAAATTAAATTGATTGTGAGTAAGTCTTATTATTATTTCTTTACCTATTTCCTTCTTTGTTCTTAAGTTTATGTATTTCGCATTTTCCATTGTTTAGTCGTCTTCTCAGGACTTCCATACTTTTATTTTCTTCTATAGTTCGCTGGACTTTTTCATTCTTAAATTTCCTTAAATCTTCCTTTAGAGCTTTTGATACTTCTTTGTTTATTTTTCGCAGTTCTTCTTCGTCAATGCTTTCTTTTCTTTTGATTTGTCTTCTAGTTTCAATTAGTTGCTTTGTTTCAATAGTTATTTTTTCGTCCATTCATTGGCATATAAAATACATATGATAAACATGATAAACATCCTTGGCTGAGCTTAAAGTAAAACCACTATCTTTAAAAAAAATTAAAAATAGACATTGCTGAATCTTTTTACAAAAAGGCAAAATAAAAATGGCGCCCTTACTGAAAGAGTCGGTTGAACAAATTGTAACTCCTACGATAAGTCAACCACATGACATCACCAGGAAAAACAACGTATGCCACTGGCCTATCTTTGGGACAAAAGAAAGAGGCCGATTTTGCAAGAATAGCTACACGACAATTTCTGTGTCAAAAATGTGACATAAGACTATGTTTTACACCGACCAAGAATTGTTTTTTCTTGTAACTGTGTAAGTATTAAGATTCAGATTGTTTATTTCTGTAGTTTTTCTTAAATATTGTAAGTTCTACAAAATTTCTTTTGTTGTGTATAATGATACCTCGTTTGCACGATACAAAAATTTTAACCTCAAATTGTTACTGTTGCTTTGGAGCAACGTTCTGATTATACCACTAATAAACAATGTTATTTTAGGGAAACATTTTTAAACTCCACTTTTTATACAAAAAATGTATATACCAACCCCACTGACACGGTCATAGTCACTTAAAACATCTTAAAAATACTAACACGACGAATTGTATTTCAATGAATTTATGGTGTGACGGCTACAGGCTTAAGAACCTCATTTTAAAAAAGTATGCGATGTAGGGTCTGTTTTAAGATATTTAAGTTAAAATTTTAAAAATACTCCCACCAGTGGAACGTGGTCTGTCTCCAAGTCTACTCCAGGATAAATCTTGACAGATGTAAAGCTGTTTCGGAATCTTTTATTTACTAAAATGCAGTCTATTTGATTCCTAATAATTCTCCCGGGCATGTGTTGAGGGGATTTCCACGTGTACAGCTTACGAGGTGGTATTAAAATATACAGGGTGTTCTATTAAAAATAAAACTTTTGGACTATGCTAGGCTTGAGTGAATCACTCTGTACATTTAAATTTATATTTAAAAATCACATATATATTTAAATTGGTCGACGGGTCCCGGCGTTTTTTGTACTTTTTAAAACAAGGACAGAAATAATTTTACTTCCTTTAAACGTCTAGAAAATTAATCATTTAAAAAATATATTATATAATTTACCTTATACCATATGCCTCTAAGTGGTAAACCAACGATGTCTGGATTACTCTTATATAATTCCCTTTGCGTTTTATGATGAACTTGAAAACTTGTCAAAATTCCAACCTCAGTTTGTCCGTAAGTAGGCACAATATCAGTCTCAGGTAATAATTCTTGTAGAGCAAATATTTTCTCCTTAGACAATACAGAACCGCCGGTAGTTATTCTTACTAAGGTATCACAAGTTGTATCTGCTGGTTTGCCATTTTTAACTAGTTCTGTTACTTGGAATGGACTTAGAAATACACCAAAAACCTAAAACATAATTAAAATTAGAAAAAACCTTTCCTAGAAAACAGTTTCACATAGACAAAATTCCCATATTTTAGGATAAATATGTTATATACAAAACGGATATAACTCTTGTACCTGCCATTATCTGTATAATCTTTTAAGTAAGCCTACTCAGATCATTATAACGGCGGGCGAACTTTCGACACCAAATTGTCTTTGTACCTGGGGTAATCGTAGGGTCAAATTTTATTATAGGAAATTTCGACATCGCGGCATAAGGCAGGTAGGTAGGTAATTAGCGGCGATGGACATTTGCACCCAAGCAGGACAAGCGGGTTTTCCTAATATTTATTGTGACGGCGGGGGGCGTGGCACTTGTGTACTTGTGACTAAATTATTTCAGTTGTAATTTATTTCTTGTTTGACGTTGACTTGTGCACGTATACGGATATTTAAAAAATGAGTTTGATAAAAAGTTCCCGTGGTCGAGATTTATTAGTGGTGGAGCATCATTCGTTCTCGAAACAGAAAGTGTTAAAAAGCGGCGAGATATTTTGGCGCTGCATCTAAAGAAACACCAAGTGTTCCGCAAAAGTGTTTACAATAGGCTGTGAGGACCTCACCATTACAAGAAGTGATTTGGTACATAATCATGACGCCGATCCAAAAAAGCTTGAAGTAAAGATGGTAACCAATGCATGTAAAAGAAAAGCCCAAGAGGACATATCGGAAAAGCCTGCCAAAATTACAAGAACTGCTGTTGCTGAGTGTGATGCCAATTTGCTGACGGTTCCTGACATAGCTAGCATAAGAAAGAACATTTACAACTGTCGTCGTAAACTGTAACCAGGTCCGTTACCAAGAAGCATATCAGAAGTCCATAGCGCGGTTAGTAATTATTCTCCTAAACCTGTCGCAATGAAAGTTTTTTGTTTTTAAATCATCCTGAATTAAATGTAATTGTATTTTCATGCGAGACAAAAATTCGTTTGTTGTGTAAATTAAAAACTTTGTATATGGATGGTACATTTTCGTACAGTACCAAATATTTTCTACAATTATTTACTATACATAGCTTGGAAAATGGACATTATGTTCCTTTAGCATACTGTTTGTTAAAGGACAAATTGTCAATGACATACAAAAATTTATTTTCTTTATTAAGGTCTAAGATTTTTGAAACATTTCAATTATCATTAGAGCCAACTGAAATATTTGTGGACTTTGAATAAGCAATTCACTGTGCTTTATTGTATATGTGGCCCAATGCAAAAATTAGTGGATGCCGTTTTCACTTACACCAAAACTGGTTTAAAAAAATTCAATCTTTGGGTTTGGTACAAGAATATAAGGATACAAATTCAGAAATTAGAAAATGGTTAAGGCATACGTTTGGTTTAACTTATTTAAATCCAGCAAAAGTTGAAGAATGCTTTCTTTATGATTTAATGTCATATAAACCTATAAACGCAACACTTGATATATATGCAGATTATTTACTGGAAAATTACATTTTCGATAGCGCTCTATTTCCACCACACATATGGTCTAATCAGAATCCGTCTATTGCGAGGACCACAAATGCCTGTGAATCCTTTCATTCGAGATTTAATTCTTCTTTTTATTCAACACATCCTTCTATTTCTATTTTTATTGAAAAGTTAAAAGAATTTCAAGTAGACACTCATGTCAAAATAAATAGTTTACATATACCAGCAAAAATCAAAGATACTACTGTTAAGGCTAAATTGGCATTTTTGGAGAAAATGATGGATAAACTACGATCCCAACAAATACGTAGGTTAGATTTTATAAAAGCTGTATCTTATCATTCCTATAATAGCAAATAAATCATTGTATACAAGTATATTAACGGTAAAATGTACAAAAATTAGGTACTAGTTGTATTATATTTAGATATTATTACAATTATAAAGAAATAAAATGCACAATACTTTTATTAAAATAAATAAATTAATTAATTATGGTATTTTATTTATGTCGCAGCTATATTTATTTGGTGTCGAATATACCTGTAAGATAAAAACGGGAATTGGGGCTGGTGTCGAAAATTGCCATTAAATTTTAGTCGCTACCTGCTTAGTGTCGAAATTTCCTACGCCCCATTATAACATTAATATTAATGTCTATTTAGGAAGCCTACATCGATTATAAGAAACAAGAAGCATACGAATAGTTAGAGTACCCGCCTGTAAATTTTTGAGAGATTTATACTCTCTTGAAATTTCTTGTACGGCTTCCTTCCTTCCTTCCTTCCGGCAGACCAAGTCTGCCACAGTTTTTCTCTGTGTGTGACTTGTTTGGTTCAGGGGCGTTTCCCCTCTACATTTTCCGAAACATGACCGTTTCACGACATGTGCAAAAATGATACATTCTCTTGCCATATTTATTGAATGGCTTGATTTCAGTGAATAATAAAAGGAAATAATATTCTCTGACGCCATAGATGGGACGGTAAGGGTGTTCACCCCCCAAACATGACCGAAAAACGGTCAGTGCAAAAATGATAAATAATCAGCTAATTTTTTCTGTATGCCTTGCTTTATCGAATAATCTAACGGTTCTATTATTGTCTGACACCAAGAGCAAGCTCTTTTTCCCAGTCTGACGCGTCAAATGTGCCCTTCTCACGCCGTCTCTAAAATGATTAATACTCATCAGATATTGATATATATTGTCAAAAAAAAAAACAATACTTAATGAACGCTAAAAAAGTATAACTCAATAAAAAAAGGGCATAACTCAAGTCTGACGCAAAAACCCTATTTTAATCTAATGATCGTACTAAACTTTTATAGTCCTTTTTCATCATACTGATAGCACATTATGTATGCAAATCCTCAACAGGTCAAAAAACCATAGGCGTCACCCTATACTTGTTTTGAAATAAATAAAAAAATTAATATTTTAAGATGAAGTCAACAATTCATTATCTTTTAAAAAATCTTCTGTAAAATAATTGTCCACTAATCTCACTATACCTTTTTTGTGCGTAAAAAACGTCGGTATATATGCCACACGATTATTGTTAATTATACACGGGTAATTAACGAGAGAATTCAATGTTTCACGAAATAAAGGTAATTTAAAGGTGATTATTGTTTTCTATACAAGTTATCGCCTGACACAAAAAGAATACCTTTTTTGAACGATTACCTGGAATTACTGATAAAGCTTCACTAATGATAGTTTAAGTAGTTTTTATGCCACATTACAGCTTATGCCAATTATATAAATTAGACATTGTTTGCATCTTCCATTTAGTTTGTAGATGTACATTGTTCATGTCTTACCTACCTACGTTTTTGGTGTCGATATTTTGTTATTTGCATTTAAAAATGACGTCGACAACAGGTTTTATCCCGGTTAAGTGTAGTTTTAAAGGTGCCTTCAGTCTAAGAGAGAAAAATATAATATTAAATGTACACGATGCTGACTGATATTAAAATTTATGGATTTAAATTCATGTATATCAATCAATATTAATATTGATGTACTTTACATGTATTAGTATTAAAAAAATTAAGTCAGGGATTAAGGGAAGTCAGTCCGGACCTGACTTCCCGATATAAGACAGCTCCCTTTATCCTTATTTATAGCTACTGTTTACATACATGTTTTATTGATGCAATAAATTATATACTATATAATACTTATAATACAGAATACAGTGAAAATTGCCTAAGTAAATGTATATATGATGAGTTGCGATTTTTGGATACAAAGTTAATCCGTTACATTTAGTGGCATTGATCGATTATAACTTTGTTTTTTTTAATATTAGATTAAATATTATAGATTTTGATTGGGATAAAAGAATAAATAGTTGTTGAAATTACTGATAACAAAAAATTTTAATATTTAAGTATCTCCTATTTTAACTATTTTTTTTTTTGTTGTATTATCTAAAAGTAGTTATTTATGAAAAAGAGTTCCTTGCAAGTTACATGAACTGTCCAACAAGGATCTTAGACCAAGTTCAACTGCACGCCGAGCAGAACAAACACTTTTTGCACGACTTGTAGATTATAACAAAATTTAAAAAAGTCGACGTCATTGTCTTTGCTAAGAGACACTAATTGTATCCGAACGTCTGCGTCCCTCCGGTGAGTACCGATTGCACAAGGATAGAAATTATTCTCATTTAAGTATTAATTTTTAATAAACGAAAATTTCTCCACCCAGGTGAGATTCGAACTCACGACCTTTAGGTTCAAAGGTAGACGCTCTTACCACTGAGCCACAGAGGGGGTTTCAAAACTCAAAGAAATGATCATTTATGGGAAAAACGATTACCATAAAAATCAAAGAGAAAATAATAAGAAGAAAATATATCAAAAATATGGCGCGTTAAAATGGCTGATAGGGAACGTCCTACAGATATGTAGGACAGGTGCGAATAAGGCTTTGCCAAATAAACACCCGCAGATCAACTGAGAGCATGGCATAGGGCAGCAGCTATGTCATTACAGGATCAGAGCGGTAGAGACAAGATCTCTGTATCGGTCTGATACCGGATAGTCACGGGCGGTAATCAAATTATGATTTAACCGGTTGTGATACTGCGGTGCAGAAAGCAACGGGAAACTACTGCACTATATTTTCCCTAGTAAAGTAACCTATGCAAAACAAAAATTTAACGGCCCCTAGTCCGCGTCAGACCTTAAGTGGTCAGGGGGTGCAAAGAATCCCCGTGAGGAGGAACCACCCGAAAGTCGAATACATTAATAACCAACCCTTGGTACGAATAGGCACTTGGAACATACAAAGTATGTTTGAACCCGGTAAGGTTCAAAATACCATTCGTGAAATGAAAAGACTTGGAGTGGACATACTAGGTATAAGTGAGATGAGATGGTTTGGTTCTGGAAATGTATCCATCGATGACTACACAATATACTACTCGGGGAACGAACAGCAGAGACACTGGAATGGTGTAGGCCTTATAGTAACAGAGCAGATAAAAAAAGCAGTAATTGATTTCATACCCTATTCTGATC